TATATTTCGAATTTTATGTTCAAATTTGTTCGAATTAAATTCGAACATAAAATTCGAATATTGGTTCGATTATAAACGATTGTAAACGTTCCATAAACGTTGAAAATAGTTCGTTTGACTGGACGTAAAAATTCTCTAATTAGTCTGGAAACGGGAAACCTAATTCTTTCATTCTGTGAAAACGGGTAAGATTGGCTATAATGTAATTATTTTAATCTTCACTATCGTTACTTTTTGCCCACAAATAAAAACCCAGCGAAGCGGGTCCTTGAGCTAGTTTTAAATAAAATTAGGCAGGTAATAAAGTTCACATTTCGTGTTTGCATATTTGTTCCAAAAATATATGTAAAATATTTCAGATTATTTTGAATACTGATAAGATATTTGTTTAAAAATAATTTCCAAAATAAATACAATTGCTGAAAGGGTATAACCAATTATTAGTATTCCAAATGTTCCAATCAAATCATCTAATGTCAAAGGATGAAAATCATCAGATTCTACTAATAACAACTGTTTTTCATCGCTGTAACGAAGGACTTCGTCTGATAAAAATTTTTCATATAATCCTGCTTCGAGACATTTTCTCAAACTGGAATAAAATAAATTTAATAAATTAATGTGTATGCAACAAGACAATTTAAAATTTTTTTTATTATTAAAAACTTAATTCTTATTTTATTCAGAGATTAATTTTTTTACTTACGTCAGATCAAATTCTTTTTTTAATGGGAAATTTTTTCTTACTCCAAATGATGTCAACTGAATAAACAGAATATCCGTAGAAAACAAGAAATTGTCTTCTCCTCTTAATCTTTTAACAAATTGCATAACGTTGTTAAAACCTATATTTGCGATATTTCTTTCATTAAATCGCATTTCATTGTAATCTATCAACTTTCCTTCGGTAAGAAAATTTTTCAGGGAAGCTGTTAATTCGGTTTTTCCTGTCTAATATAAATAAAATTAATTAGTTAAATATAATTATTTTAACAAATTGATATGACATATTTTATTCTGCAACTATTTATATTGTAGTACACACGAAAAAAAATAGTATATGCAAATGAAAAAATGTATTAAATATAGATTAGAGTTTTTATTATACAGTGTAATATGTACTCAGATATTTTAATTAATTGATTACTCGAAGAATTTAGCACGTTTGACGCTAATTGCATATTTTGCTGCCCGAGACCACAAGCTCATGATTGTCTCTAAAAATCTATACTACGCAGATAAGTGAATTGCATATATTAATATAACCAGAAATCAATTATTTTTTACTATCAGTTTAAACACAAATACAAAATAGAAGCTTCAAATTTAAAGACTAATACTGAACTAGATAATTTGTTTGTTACAACACACTGAAGAGAGTAATTACTAGCCATTCGATTTCGATTACATGCAGTTGGTCTGTCAGTTATGTCGTATTCGTGTCTTGCTGGCTGGTACCAATCGTTGTTTTCAGTTTTTTCGTATTGGGAATGAAGTCTGTGAGGTTAGTTCATAAGTGTTTATTTTTAAATAAGTCTGCAGTATTGGGGGGCAGTTTAGCCTAGCCCGAAGACATTCTTGGAAAAGATCGTTGCGTTGATCTTCAAATTTTTTGTGGGTGAATATGAAACAAATGGCATCATCTTCACTCTCCCCGTCACAGTGACACTTGTCTTCAATTTCTTTGCCGAAACAGTGTAAATAGGAAGAAAGTTCCTGTGCTCAGTGAGGCAGGATTGTCTCAAGTACTGAAGTACTTAATACTTAATACTGAAGTACTTAATACTTTTAAGATAACTAATTGAAGGAATGAACTCTATGGCAGAGTCTCCCAGTGTTCGCTTCATCGCACTCCTTTTGCCTCTCTAATTAATGTGATTACTTCAGAAACTCGTTTCCTTCAGAACCTAAGTAATAAATCAGTTGACTCTATTAGAGTGTTTTCAGTTTTTCTTATTGTAGAGAGCCACACATTTTTTTGGTCAGTCAAGCCGCATTGACTTATTAGTTATTTTCAACGATTCAGCTCTACACGTAACAGAACGTTCAGCAAGAACGACTCCATTGTTTCCAAACCGCAAGGCCTTTTATCTTTGGATTTCGTAAATACTGGTCACGAAAATGGTGAGTGGTCTTAAGATAAATCTATACTAAAAATAGAAAAACTTACTAAACAACAACAAATATATAAGTTTAAATTAACACGGATTGAAAACATCGATCACACCCATGATGACATGTTTTTCTTTTAGATTTTGCAGAAAAACCTTGAAGAAATCAGTAGTAAGTTCGAGAAGATACAGGAGGAAATTGAACGGAAACTTCTTAATTATAATAAGTGGTCACAAATAAATAAAACACGTATTAGAGATTAAAAAAAATGTAATTGAACAAACTCAATTAATTATATTTAGTGGTTTGGATGAGTCTGTTGAACACCGCATATTTTCTTAAATTTTTAAATCAAACTGAACACGTCCATTCTCATTTTCTCCTCCACATTTATTTTCGTGCATTACTTACTTTTTAATACAGCGATAGCGATACCCAGCTTCGCACAATAAAAAAAGTCGCAAATGAAGTTAAAATCCTTTGAGTTTTTCCACTCACGAGAGGATATTCATCTTTTACTGGCATCCAAAATGTAATCAATTCCATGCTGCTAAATTATGTTTCAACGTATTGTCACAAGACAACGCAATAAAATACTTATTTTCTGTAACAGTAAACTCAGATGGAGAACTGGAATTAAGTGGATTATGAATCCGAAAGGTCTATGATTTCCTGTGCATGTAATATTTATATATACTCAGTATTTATACCAATGAATGCACGGTCTTTACGCTCTGTGGCCCAAATCATATGCAGCGTCGGACACTACTACAAAATTCTTTTAAGCCTAGGCCTCACTTCTTGTAGGTACTTTCGAAATCATTATATAATAGATTCGGAGATCCCGAATCTATTTAATAAACAAATTACACTATTTTAAAATATTTATAGGATGTTTAATAACACCAAATAATTACTTTTGACTTTAATTAGCGTCGTGTCTCCTCCAGTACGATATTTCTCGCGACATACTTTTGTTGCAGGAAGAAGTGGCTTATTAAATCAGAAAGCAAATTGGAAAATTATTTTTAGATATTTACAATTGTATTATGCTGTTGATGGTAGAAGATGCCGTGAAAGACCAAACCTACTTTTACAAAATTATGATAGGCTATTATGAAAACAAATATATAAAAATTCTATAGGCACTTCACATCACTTGCAAAAAAAATTTGAATAATTAAATAATTTCTGGTTTAAAATCGTCTGTTTCTTTGCAATATTATACATAAATGCTTAAATCATTTTAATAAAATACGTTATAATTTTAACCCGAACCAAAAAAAAAATGAAGAAGTTTAAGTCGAACTTCTAGACGTAGCAAACGCCATTGTCAACCTTCTAGACTTGCCAGATGCCGGCGCTGGACGTACGTTCACGTTTTCGCGATAAAAACGTCCGTCTCAACATTTCTACTAATTTACATTGAAAATACGCTAAAAAACAATTCTGTATAAAGGTTGTATCGAAATATCGAAAGTAAGTATACTCTCGATATTTCGATATTTATACAGCGTTTATACAGATGAGAAAACTTTTTGGTTTTCTGTTTACTTAATTAGAGTAGCACATTGTGGCTGTATCTATTTCCTAAAATTAATACGATAGTATCTGTAACTTGTCAGTTTTTTTCGGATACCCTGAACATCAAGTAATATTATATCTTTAAGATCAAATACCTTAACAGCCGTTCCTAATGATGACTTCATAGGAATACTCAACGTGTAATGTCCGTTCTTTACAGCTTGAAATAACTGCGGAAAAGTTCTCGGTACATCTTCTAAACCAGGAAATGTTAGAAATGACATCAAACATCCGCTATAGCTATATCCGAGAATAGATACAGCAAAAATCCACATGATTACCAGCAGTTTGCGACTCTGTCCGGTCGGTTGAAAAATATCATTTCCTAAATAAATAACATATTTTTAAATTATTGACATACTCATACATGTTAACAATTGTTTAAATCTTTTTTTATTGTACAATAAATAGAAAGTAAAATATCTGATAAATTAAATGACTTACCGGTATTTTACATAAGAATTCGTTAACCGAAAATTTTTCTTATTTATATACCATTCACAAAACTAACTGATTACTAAATTCCATGGATGAATATTGACATTAAAATTACATACTAGTTGTATTTGAATAGTAGCCGCAGTTATAATTTGAAAAATTTTTTAAAACTTACAAAAACAATTTAAAAATATATACGTTAAACTACAATAGATAAGTGCTATATTTATTTCCAAACAAAGAGAGCGATTCGGACATTCTTTCGTTTCATAATCCCTTTCGAAGTTGACATTTAGTTCCCCAAATAACAGCTAGATAAAAGCACATTAACCACGAATAAACTGACATCCCCGTCTTATTTCATAGCCCCATCTTGCACCACCTTCTCCTACTGTTTGGAGCATTGCAGCTATTTGTGAAAGATGATGTGTTGCAATCCTGCGACCAAGGATGTCTTATACATGTTCTATGAGATTTAGATGTGAAGAAAATAGAGCCAGTCCAGTTGCCTTATTCCAGGTATTCCCGAAACATGCAACATCTGTAAGAGTGCTTATTTAAAATAAACCCAGGACCATATGCACCTGTAAAAAAAGACACGTACTGCTACATGATGACACCTATTAGAATCTGTGAGCTTTCATTATTTACTCTAAACCCTTGTCGCGACGTTAGAACGATTAGGCCCGCTCACGTGGTCACTGGATGGCATAAATGAGTCAGGATAGAAAAATTGTGAAAGTTTATTCTCTTGTCAGCTCCTGACACCAATTAAAAAGTAACGCGTCTGAACTCGTTGTATGGAAGATAAAAATAAGTATAACAGAAGGGTTTGTTTGAGTGGGAGAGTCGGCGCATTAGTCTATAGCAGTGATTCTCAAACTTTTTCGATCCACCGCCCCCTTTGTTCCATAAAGTTATACCCAACGCCCCCTAACCCATTTTCTCTTGTGTGAGAAAAAGATTGGAAATATTCTTAGGAAAATTTTTCTATGAATCTCACACTTTGTGCCCTTACTGTACATTGTTCTCATCATCTGGAAACCATTAAACGCAATGTTTCCTCTTATCAGCCCCAATTTTGCCTTTGGTCACCGTTCAATA